CTGGATGTCCACAGAATATAAAGAATTTATGTCAAATGAATCTTTGACCAAACGATTCATTTTCCTAAATTCAAAAAAAAAACTTGTTTCGAAGTGAACTTTCCATTACTCCTACATATTTTTAATAAATTTAAATCATTAAAAGGCAAGATCACTGTTATTTTGTTTCTATAAATATCAATTGTACTTTACCACATGTAATAACAGTGAACATTTATAAGATGTTGTACTATCATAAATTTATATTTATATTTTAAAAAGAAGTCACGGCGCTCGGTAAGATGTTAGTCTAGAGTAGTAAATAAATTTAGTAAATTTGCCATTTTCGTTTACAATATGTCTAAGGCTTGAGTAAAAATGATGGCAATTTCGAAAGTTTTTACACTGCACCTGAACAAATAATAAATCATTAATTGTTAATATTTTTCATAGTTTCTTTTTCGTTTAAAATATTTCAGTTATTATACGTTCTGTCCAATGTTGTTAAAGCACACATGATGTGAATATTGCATCGGTTTGATGTGTTACGTGTGTCAAGTTTCATCACTAACTGGAGTAAGCGGTAGAACTTAACACAAAATATCCGATTAAAAGATGTGGGATGTCAGCAGTACGATAAAGGTCTACGCACATAGTAAATTTTTCATGTGTGCTGTACATATTCACTGAGTTCGGTGTACTTATTAATACATATACAAAAATAACAAATATATATCATATAGCCGAAAATTTGTAGTTTCTACAAACAGTTTTTAGGGGGGATTTTCTAGAAACAATTTCATCAGGACAGAAACTAGAAAAAAATGAGTTTTGGAACATAAAATACTCTTAAAAGTTTTATCTATACGACATTTACCTCGAATTCACATTCCAATGTTCTTACACAATTATCCATTCGGTCTTTTGTTTGACTTGTATCAGGAAATTCGGTGCTAAATACAAGAAGGTTAATTTGGTAAATTCTATTTGATTTCTCATCTACTCGTCGCAACTATAATACTAGAAAAGAAAATTAACATTATTTAGTGTCGTTTTATAATACTATGACAGAGTTATAACGAATTGTTTACCTGTAGTTATATAAGAGTTGACAAATCAATCATAGACAGACATATCATTTCTATACCAGCTGTATACAGTCGACCCCCCTATAACACTGTTGATAATTCCGTTTTATATGAATTCCATGTTGTACGAGTCACTTAGATTTTACAAATACGTGTGCTGGGCTGTGAACGGCTCACGTATTTGTAAAATCTACACCACGATCTCAGATTCAAAGCTACCTGATATACGAGGTAGCTTTATATCAGGGTACTTATAAAGAGTTAAATTTAAAAATCAGGCTAAGTTAACAAATCTTATTGAAATAAAACAATTAGCGCTTTTAGTAAACGAATTAAAAAAATAACTGAAATCAAAGGAGTAATAATTAAAAAATTTTCTTCCATTACATGTGTTCTGCTTCTTTTTATTCTTCTATACGTTTGGTTTGTTTGGCTTATCTGTATAAGACAACACTACACGTAAGAGATCTGCCGAAGTGGGAGGTCTCCAGCGAGAAATTTCTAAAGGAATCTGGCTCCTATTTTAGTGTTACAAACGTGAAGTAAATCCGAGAAACACCGTGTGGCAAGGAACATATAAACACTAAATCCAGTAAAACCACTCTGCAGTTGCCGCTCATTGCAACCAAACTGGCTGCGAGATCTCCCCGACAGCATCAAAATACTTAAAAGAGAAAAAAACATTATTAAAAGGAAATTCTACGAACATGTTGAAATTATTAAAACTAAAGAAACACAGAATGAACTTAAATACTGGAGCTGTCATAAATGACATCTGGCAGCCTTTCCTAAGTAGCAAAGCCCATTAAGTTGACCTACCGTTCTCCCACCTTAACCCCCACTGTGCAATTCTCACCAACCTCTGTATATGTTACAAGGATCACTCACTTCTTTGTAACATCTCCCATCAGGCCTGTTCTCTACACATCTCTCCTGTTTTTGTCACATCCTACAGGTATTACGTTATTCTTTTTATAAATTACACCTTTTTAATATATACTTTTTTAGTTTTTTTGCATACCACCTTTTAATTTAACACACATTAAACTATCCTCAGGTGCCTGTATATTGAACCGATAGCACTATATGCTCATTCCATTTAAAAAGGGGGGACCCTTTTTAAATATGTGTATATATATCTCATGTGTCATACCAGCTTAATGGTCACTATCTCAGGTAATTGTATTTTATCATATAAATCACTGTACGCGTATACTAATTATTTAAATGAATTCTATAAATTTTGATACCTGTAACCAATTTGATAATTATGTAATAATAATAGGACTGAAGAGGGGCATTAAGCCCGAAATGCATATCCGTCCAAGCCAATAAAGCAACCTTTTTCCTCTTAAGGCTGGTATACACGGTAAGGAAATCCTCAAAGGATGTGCTTAACAGACGAAAAAACTCGGATATAACTGGCTGGATCGAACATAGTAATTTACAAAACTTATTAAAATATCTCCCAACGTATAAAGAATTATTTTTATTTAAAAATGGATAGATAGAAAAAAAAAATCACGGTTAATCCTCAAAGGATTTCCTTACCGTGTATAACAGCCTTTAAAGTGTTCCTGTATGATATGTTCTCAACAGCAACATTGTGCTAACAAAACACTAAATCCACCGTTTTATTCACTCGAACACTGGTGGATGAAACAAGTCTCTGTCAGATACGAATTGTGAGATTTAAGTTATAATAAGAGATTTATTTATATTACTTGTTTTACTTCATATACTTTACGAAATCTGAATTCGATCCTGAGAAACTATATAATTTAAAAAGTTGAATAATACCGAAAAGGGTTTATCTAAACAAAAAATTGATTTTATATTTTATCAATCCAACTTGACTTGTTGCATCGTTAACTGTATCAAAAAGTCATAATTCAATATTCAATTAACCAGTAATTAATAGAAGAGAAGGTGGTATTATGGAACACCCCCATTTCGAACTGATAATAAAGGCGAACTGTAGCGGAATGCGGATGAACTGAACTAGGCAGACATCCATAGCAAGGGGAAAACCCGTTTTACTTCAGTTAAACGGTTGTCCGTATTTAATCAGCAAATTTGTTTTTTTCAAAATTCACAAGTTTTGAATGCTAAGTGAATTTAATTATTTTTAAAATATAAATCGCGTAGTTGTAGGTTCACTGGTGCATGTATTCCGTTCCAGAGACTTAGGGGTACATATTAATCTGTGTGATGTTCACGTTTTTTAAATTTTGGTCTCGACAGACATAAGTTAATTCAAGATGGCGATGCGTGAAATACGGGCCCCTTTGGTGCTTTTACAGTAATATGGAACTCAACTCCTCCGAACTCTCTCTTTGCAATCAGACATTCGTCCGGAGCAATTTGGGAAAAAGACACTAGGTAGAAAGTCTGAAAATATCGAAAAGAGCTGCTGGAATATATATTGTTGATGGAGGTCATATTTTTCTATTATAAAAGCATTTTTGCGATAAAATACATTGCAGTAAATAATTTTGTAATTATTTAACATTTTTTGTCCTTTCCTATTTGTTTTTGGCTACATTAAAGCATTTTTTTGAAAATATACAGTAAGGTTCCATATTACCATATGATTTTCTCTAAGCCTACTTTCGGACTTTTTGTACAAAAGCCTTCAAAAACCATACTTATAATTACACTAGCGAAAAATCCAATTAGAAACATTTAGTTTACTAGTTACCAGTACTTTTCGCACAAAAAATGTGGGTGTAGTTATGATACTTTGTTTACAATTCACTAAAATGTAATTGGGGTTCCATAATACCACCTTCTCCTCTACTAATCATAGATTATTTGAGAAGTATCTTTAAAAATGAATCGCTGGTGTTAGTGTTTTCAGACTAAAGCTATCATTTTTTGCAATGAATAGGCGAAGAACAAGTTTAAAAAACCATTTTTTTTAAATAAACACTGATAAAAAAATTAATAAATAAATAAGTAAACATTTCCGAAGCATTCATATATAAAAATTTTATACCTTACACACAAATTAAAAGAAAGAGCAAGCTATAATCGATTTTGTAGTTATCTATTTTAAAAGCCTCAGTGATTTTATATGTAAGATTCATGGGGAAATAGCCAATAAGAATTGCTAAAGCACAAGATCTTGCGAAATCACTTAAGTTTCATATGATTATTATCTATAGATAATGTAAGATTAAAAATGAGACATTTCTCTTCATCGACGAAACACTACAGAATACAGAACCAGCGACACTCAGAAGGTCACAGAAGACTAAAAGACCAGTGGTACGGTTCTCGCATCAACGTATTAAAATTAACTGGGCCGCCAGAGTGATGATAACATAGTAACACTGAAGAGTCTCGAGTTAGCGCTGACTTTGAGCCCACGTGTTAGAAGAGAAAGACAGAGGATCGCAACTGTATGCTTTAGTACAATAAAGCCTTTGTTTCCGAATGACATAAGTAGTTTTTTCTTTGTCGTACTTCTGTTTAAGAAATAACTAAGACATTAAGACGTAACAATTCTATAATATAGATATTGACAATTTTTGGGCATACTTATACAAAATTACACCTGTCCACGATGTATGTTATTTAATTACTTCATCAGTCTATTATTTCAGTAAACTTTACGTGCGAATCGAATGTAAATGTGTTCATTAATTTTTCTTCCCTCATTATTTAATTTCTTTCCTAAATTAATAAATCACTTCGGTCATGAAAAATAATCAGTCAAATTAAAGTTGTAAGTAACGTACTTCGAATTACAAAAAATGATTAATAATATAAACGCTTAAAAATATTATTTGTTTTTAACCACGATAAAAACACTTAATAATCGTAAATATTGTTGTGTAATAATGATACTGTAATAAGATATACATATATATAGGCTATATATATATATATATACATATATATATAATATAGTAACAACTGAAATATATATAACAATTATATTTTAGTGAATTATATAAGCTAAAACACTAAACACTCTGTAATGTCGAAGGAAAGACATTTTTTGAGGTATGTTGAAATGAAACGAACACAAAAATTCACTTATATTAAAAGTAAGGTAAAAAGTAAATTTATTCATCATTATTTATGTTTTTAATTTTCTTTATAGACCTTTGAATACGAGATTACAAATTATTCTTGTGTGTGTTTTAATTATTTTCACGAATGCGTACGAGCAAAAGACTGTATCTAGTTAGTAAGAAAAATAATAAAATATTTGAATTTTCTATTAATTTGTGATTGGTGGTAATTCGTTACAATTATTTATATTATATATAGGAATTTCAAAGAGAATTGTCGGAGGATCCTTAGCCAACATTAATGATTATCCATTCATGGTGAGTTAAATCTAAAACTAATGGAAACATTTAACTTTATATATCTGTTTATGCAATCCTTTTACAAGCAGTCTTCTTTTGTATTTCAAAGTTTTTACATTTATTTTTTCGTCGATATAAATTTCGAACAATATACTTTAATCCATTTAATTGGATTTTATATTTATCTGTGTTTTATCCGGTACTGGTTCTAAACTGATGTGTCGAGAAGCCACGAAAAGTGTCAGGAAATCACAGAATTCATAAAAAACATCAGATTTTTAAATTTGTCAATGAACAACAAAGTGTATTTCTATAGTTTATGAATTGTTTCTATAGAAGATGTATTTTAAAGAACGTGTTAATTGATACAGAAATCGTTTCTTTTATAAAATGCTCTATACCAATTTACCTGTTCGCTTGTTTCTTGAAGATTTGGTAACGTTTATTTCAATCTTGTAATGATTAATTATGTTTGATCTCTATGATATTAAAATATTCAGAAGAACTGGCAGATGGTATGGCCTCAGTATATACCTCAGGATAAGGTTGATGGAATAGGATTAAGTCAACCCAACACTTGAAATCCTAGGCAGATGACTCTCGAAAGGAGTTTCTATGGAAAATTGGTCAGCAATCGGGTGTTAGACGAAGGAAGGACAACCTGGACGACTCTACATGGAGGGCGATTTGACAAGGCGCAAACCAGTAACTAATTATTGGTTTTCAGTAGTTTTTTTTCACTCGACTAAACGTGAATGAGCAAAAATATCTGTAGACTTTCATATATTTTGTGTAGGATAGTTGCAATAGAAAAACAGATTACAGACATAGTAACTCTTTCACGTACGCTTTACAGCTTGACTGAGTTCGGTGTACTGTACATATTAATCTTACAGTTCTTTCATATATATATATATAAAGCACAAATACAGCGCGTATATGATTGATATAAACTTATCTGTCTATGATGTGATTATGTTTCATTTGTCAATGTTATATCCAAACTGTTTATTTACAGATAAGCAATCCATTACAACTCTGTCTTACTATTAGAAAACGATACTATAATGTCGGTCGAAGGCCAAAAATAAAGATAGAAATTAACAATAAAACTTTTGTGTATAAAATTCACCATAAGAGAAGTGAAGTTAAATAGAAGTCAAACAAAAATCCGTAAGAATAGTTGTCAAAGAACGTTAAAATAATTTTATATATATAGTGTATATGTTACCGCTAAAGCTCGAAATCCGTTAATGTGCGCATTACCTAGCTAATCTGCAGATTAACTAGGGTGATCCGTTAAAGCTGCGAAAATTATTTCATTTCTCAAATTACCTAGATAATGTTCAGATTATCTAGGTAATCTGCAAATTACCTACTAGGCACTCGGTAAAGTGAAAATAAGATTTTTGCTGGAACAACAGCAACGTTTCTGTACGCTTAAATTAACATAATGTTATTTATTTAATTTTCAATATCTAAAGAATCAAGTTAATACAATCAACAAATTAGTTGATTGAATCAATCATCAATCAATTAAAAAAAC